ACCTTTATTGAATTCATACTGAAAGGTCAAGCTTCCATACAATATTTTATAGATTCCGAAGAAGCAAAGCTATCTTGGAATAAAACATGTTTGCTATGATGATATCATCAAGTTTGTGTTCTCAATAACCTCCTGAAACAATAAATAATGTATATGAATGTATCAATATTTCATGTCCGGTACTATCAATGATTCTATTTAGTATTTACTCACCATTGTTTCTTGCTACCTGAGAAAAATGTCATCAACAGAGATTATCATCCTTTTGTTATTGTTATCTTTTAATTCTGTGCAATAAGTTCTTCTCGCAATCATTTTGTGAAATAGAAATTTCATGAAGGTATTCAATGAATACTCTAATAATTTTGATATAATCATTAATATATTATGATGTATCTTGAACAAACCATGACTATCATGAGACATAACCTCAATTCTAGTTCTTCTTCTTCTTCCTTTTGTCTTCGATGACACGTTATTTCATGGAATGTCATCTGAAGACGTCCGTAGGCACGAAATTCTTTACATCCTCAGGCTGTCACTGAAAGAACTCATTTAGGACAATTACAGCGCTAAATTTACGCCTGATGATGTTCTTAGGTTGTAGAAAATAGAACGTCCTCTCCAGGCGTTTGGCGACACATTGAGGATGACCTTAGGCGAGTGTGTGCTATCTGGGTAAATTATAGCAATCGATAAAAAAGTTTATTATTGGAAATTTGTGTATACATTATGCGAACAAAATGGAGGGAATCTATGAAAAAAGTTTTTGGAATGATAATTTTTCATGTATGTATGTATGTATACAGTCAGCGATTTTAACAAAACGGCCTAAAATTGCGCTCGGGCGCGCCCGGCTCTCTTATTACCCAGTTTATGTCTGTCACATAGGTAGCAGATCCGTACGTACGTTATGGTCGGACTTCTGATGGGATAATACCTTTTATTGTTTATATTTCAAAATATTGAACTATCCAAATGATACATCAATCAATGTTTCAAACCGAATTCTTTCCTTTTCCTCCAGAATGATTATTTAATCATTTTTGACCGGAACTAAAAACGTATGCATAAAACAACTTTTATTTTTCGTTCGTCAATTTCTCCTATATCTTCCTCAGAATCTTCGGACATTATTACAAAAACAACATTTACAATCTTCACAACATTTTAGGCATTCTTTGAAACAACCACATTTTCGACTATCACAATTTTTATCCGAACAAAAGATACTTTATGATTGCCGAACAGAACCAGGAATTGGTTTATCATTCGAAAATATTGAAATCCAAACGTTGTTATTCAAATTCCATCCTGAACCATCTGTATTTATAAGTGGTGTTGCTAGGTTGCTATGTTGCTGCTGTACCATATTCTGAGATGATACATACACCTAAAATTTTAATAGTCAACTGAAATATTGTCATCTTATTTTAATATAAATATAAGTATGTTCATAATGTGATAATGAATATAATTTTCACGTTCACCTTGAGAAGTGCTGGTAAAAGGCACCTTCACTTGGGGGAAGCTCTGCAGACGGTTTTTTTAAGAACGTCAAACGTCGATTTTTTTCCTATTTTGAAAAAACTTCTAGTTGTGTCGCAACCAGTAGAACAATGAAGTGCCAACAAACAAGAACACATTGTAGGTCCTGAACTTTGCACTACTTTTTCAATTGAGATAAATCGTTTGCTAGTACCGTGTCCAAGATGCATAAATAAATTACTTTCTTTCAACAAAAAAAGTGGATGAGTAAAATCTGCTGAATTCAGTTTCATGTATAGCATGCAAAATAATCCTTGTATCTGCCTCTTCATGTTTGTTGAAAAATAGAGCCTTAACAATTACCGAATGATGTTTATGCATTGGAACTACTTTTTCTGACATTTTAAATCCCCTAGCTGTCATCAATATTTCATTTTCGTTCAAGTACTTTGCAGCGTTTTGTATTCTGTTTGGAAAAATTAGAACTGACTGTTTAATTTTATAAGATTTCAAAAAGTGTCGATATTTTTGTAATTTTCGGCTACCAATAACGTGCTTATAGCTTCCACAGAATTTTCATTGTAGGTGTCAAAAACTACCACTGTTCGAAGTGCTCGACATCTGCGCCCATAGCATTAATTACAGCTGTCAAAAAAGTCCTCTCTAAATCGTTTAAAGTTGAAACTCGCGTATTTTTGAAAATTAATCTTATTAGTCGGACTGTTTATGGATCATGGCTACAATGTATTCTTATTGTAAACAAACTGATATGTTGCTGGTCCTCGCGGGCTTTACATTTTACCAAATTTCAACATGAATATAAACCGAAATAATGTTTTCTATACAGGCACTAAAATATTCAGATGCCTTCCTAACTCAATCACACACTGTGATAATATCAAAAAATTTAAGCATAAATTGAAATCTCTCCTCCTCCAACATGTTTTTTATAACCTGAATGAATTCCACCAAGTTTACACATAATGTAAATAATTCCAAATTCCAACAAATTTATCAAAATTGTACAGACTTCCCTTTCACTTTCCTTACACTTTTGTTTTTGAGGAAATAAAATTATTACTTACTTACTTACAAGAACTCTCGTTTTACAAATTTAGCGATAACTATATTCAGTACCTAAGGTGAGCACTTTAACGCCCTGTACCAACTCAACGAAACGATTTTGGATATAGGTAAGTTGGCTAAAATGAACTTATTTCAGTCCCAGGAGTCGACAGTCAAGCCATGTCCCAACTAGATTTTTTTTTTCAAATGCATAAGATGCCCCAGATCATCAGAAATTATTTATTTGCAAATGAACCTCGAGACTCATCAAAAATTAACACGATACAAAAAATATTCAACAGATATCAAACTTTCCTTCTTTTTTGTTCCAGTACTACTGCAGATAAGGCACATTTTTCTGATATCAAATGTTTGTGATTCAAACCGAGGTCCAGAATAATTTGAGGGTCCGGCCTCACTGTCATTTCGCAAAATACTATTAATATTTTGAAAGCTTGTGTGCGATTTTTGGCAGTCTGAGTGAAACTTTATTTTTAGGTCACTATTGAAAAATCTTTTTTTTGCGACAGAATTTCTTTTGACCGATTGTCTTGTCTCCTTTCAGCACTAGCTATTAGTGACAACAATCCTTGTATCCTAGGTCTTTGTACCACAGATTTGTCATCATCCCGCACAATATTTCCACAAATAATACATCCCATTTTCTCAGAGAACTTCTTATAAATATCGGAGGATGTAGATGTTACGCTGAATGCCGTTTACATAAAACTAATCCAGCCTCGTCTTCCGGTGGCGCGTGCTGATATTGAGCGAGCAATAAAAAAATCATTGTTGCTAAACTATACAAAATGGGGAAGAAATAATCAGCTCAAAAACTTCTATCATATATGGGCTTCATTTGTTTCGCTATATGTATACAAAAATTTCCAAAAATAAAAAAGTTTATCGATTGGTGCAAATTGTAATGCATAAATTCTGAATTCCATGCTCTCTTGATTTTTGAAAAATGAAAGAAGAAAATTTTGTAAAATCCATCGGTACTGTTAGAAGCGCTATTGTGTTTAGTTCAACCTAGTGAAAAAAACACTTCGATATCTTCATTGATTTCAAAGATATGACGGTGGAAACAAAAAAAAGTACATTTCATTTAAAGTGCATTTTTTTCAGTTTTTTCTCAGTTAAAAAGTTCCAGACCACAGAAAAATGTCGTAAAATACGATTTCATATACCTAGTGATATGGTCAACAAAACCTACCATGTCGGACCTGGTTCTACGTCAGAAAAAAAAAACGACACGATTGGGTCTCGAATTTACTACACTAATTGCCATGAGAAATTGTTCCATCTTCATTGGATGTTACATCTAAAAATTGTTGGAAATAAATATCATTCCCAATCCCCCTCTCAAGATTTATGGCATATATTGAATCCGATTCAGAATATCAAGTTTTTCTTTTGGATATAATGCCTTCTGAACATAATGAGATTTTTTGCGAAATCAGGGTGAATTCATAATCTGTGATGAACTGTTTCAGTTGAAATTTTTCAGAAGGAGTTGAATTGCTCGAATAATTTTTTAGCAAATTGTGGAATATGGCGTGGCACGGCCTCAATAAGAACGATTGACGAGTTGTGCTCATTTCCAGGTTCCTATTAATTTTTAAATGGCCTCAACTATCATGAAAGTTGACAATCGCAACCTCCCAATGAGTACAATCACTGGTTTTGATGAGCCAACATGATTATCCACACCATTCTATTGTACATGATTTCTATAAATGATTGTGATCAATTATAAGATTTTTTGATCTGCTCTTCAGTGTCGTGCTGTGGAATGCACTAAGTACATAATGAACAAATTTCAAATGAGTGGAAAAACAGAGAACTGAAGAGGTAAAATGCAATTTGAATCTCAAATTGCAATATTCGATGTGACTGATTTTTCAGTTAAAGGTTTTCTCCTGCAAAATATAACCACACAAATGGTCACAACAGTGCAGAAGTACTAATACCTGAGAATTTGTGGAGTATTGATTATCACAAGTTTTGAATAGTCTAAGTAATAAGTCCTGGGAATCGATTGGTCATAAAGCAACCAGAATAATTCGATTCTGGTAGCGATCGTTAGTTGATTTTTTTTGGGCTCATGTGTGGTTTACTGTAGTTATCGTCCTCATTCATAGAATCAAGCCATTATAAAAACCTTATTGATTTTCGCAAGTTTTCACAATTGTGTGATAGCTACCAATTTTTTATAGTCATGTGAGTAAATTTAATAGACATTGACTTCTTCATGTCTCATTTGTATCGTAGTACTAACGAACATAGTCGTAATATAGACATTTCATATGATATCCGGAACATGTGTGTCTAATTTGATGTTTCAAGTCAAAGTTGTTGAGAAGACTCCGTACTTGTCCACTCCACATGAGCAACGATATACTTCAACCAACGTTAAATCCTTTCATGATTATCAAAATCTTTACCCGAATCCGCCTGCTGCAAAACCAGCCATGCCAGTTGCCAAGGTGAAGCAGATGGTGGTAGGCAAGGGTGACATCAGGTACGCCGCTAGTATCAAGAACAGCATCTGACCCATGAAAGAGATAGTATTGAATATCTTCCTCACTGCGCTAGTTGAGAATGGACTAACTCGTAGGAACCAATCAGCCACATGCCCTCCAATCACAGTCGAGACGGAGAGAACCAAGTAGGGCACAGACGATATGAATCCTGCTTGATTCAAATCGAAGTGGAGAGCATCTGGAACCTCAATAAAAAATAATATGAATACACTTGGGACCACTTACGTATAGTCTCTGACAAATGATTTCACAGAGTGTTTCAGATGCTATTGCCAATGTTTTTCATAACTTATAGTACTTCATCAAACTAAGGAAGAGAGTTAAATAGATAGATAGTTCAAAAATTCTCCGAGTTATCATTCCTTCTTTATTATTTCGCACAGACCCATTGAACACAAGATTACTGGTCCATTGATTCAGTCGATCGAATGGAACTGGTACTATATGTCCGTGATCGAAACATTTTCAATTCGTTCCTGTCTCGATCATATAATACATATGTTGCACTTTTATTGTACTGGTATAAAACTGAATAAGATGTGACAAAAATATGGGATCAAACTTCTAGGAGATTGTCAGTGCAACAGTAAGAAACATTTGAGTAGTTGGTCGCATGTCCGGAAAGGTGTCACTACGGCACTACTCTCGTTAAAATTTAGAAATACGATTGATTGCCTGAATCGGCATTGATGCATTTATTTGTACATGATATTATCACAACAATTGTTCAAAATGTCTTCCTTCAACCTGAATACACTGATTCAAACATCGCACATGATTTCGGCGGACTTGACTAAATATTCGATATACGTTGTGAATGAATTCAAATACTGCTGTAGTTCTTCTTCTTGAGCCTTGCTCTATTTGTACTGGAGTATCGTTGATCAAAAACTCCACATTTCCCCACAGTCAGAAATCTAGCGGCGTTGAATCGGGTAACCTATAGGTTAAGGAGGCCAACAAACTTCTTCACCTCTGGCATTCCAACGATGCCCTTAACCGCTGAGCCAAATCCTCACGTACTTGTACAGCAAAGTGAGCCAGCGCTCCATCATGATGAAACTAAATTTGCTAAAAAATGTTTAGTGCAACATTTTCAAGAAGTTCTGGAAGAACTTTCCATATAAAAGGCCGCTCAATAGGGCATGTTAACCGTTCCGGTAGAAGGTATGACCCAGGTAGCCGTGCGGACAGAGTGTCTATATTCTAATTCGCATTCGCTTGCCGGTCGTGGGTTCGATCCCCGTCGACTGCAGAAATTTTTCTGATGGCCCAAGAAAGTGTTTGGGATCACATGTTAAAAGGTAAGGCCCCCGTCATTCCTTGCTCGCACAAGACTTTCGAAGACTTTTGAGGGTTGCTCGTAAGGGGGCAACCGAATGACGGATAGAACAAATTTTAGAACAAATCAAATAATCAACAATAATGCCCGCCCATACGTTGCTGATGTTGCCTAGGAGAAACTGCATTGGGATTTTCTCTGTCCCAAACATGGCTATTCCTACTATTAAGAATACTGTCTCCTATGAGAGAGGATACATTGGTCCATGAAGTATGGCTTGGGAAATTTATTTGTGCAGCTATTTGATGAACAAGCCATTGACAAAAGCGAACTCTAGGATGATAATCGGCTGCAGTCAATCCTTTAACTTTCTGGAAGTGGTGAGGATAAAGTTGTTGCTCGTGTAGGACTTGCTAGATGGAAGCGTTAGTCGCATTCATATCCTTAGCAATGTGACGTGTGCTACGTCATGGTTCGTCGGAAACTCGCTGAAGGGACTTTTCTTCATGTAAGACCGTTTTTACGGTTCGAGCCACACCAGTATCATGCATTTTGGTTTTGAACATGCCTGTCTCAGAGAGCCGCCGAAGAACAGCTATGAACTTCTTATATCCCGGATGCTGTCTTTCGGGATAACGTTCTTGATATAATAGCGCTGCTGCTCGTGCATTGCAGTTTTTCGCTCCGTATGCCGAATTCTTCTTTGTCAATCCATTGGCAACAAAGAATTTTGTTGAATTTTTGCATTCTTCCCGAATACGAGAGCACGCGACTGAAGTGATATGGAATGCAGCTACAAAGAACAATTTCTGTTATCGGTTTTTGAAGATAACAATACACAAGCTCCGGTAAATTGTTCAAAATCATCAGCTTCAAGATTTTTGAACATCGATATTGACATCAATATTTCAAACAATTATGGAGATGATGTCGTGAACAAGAGGCAAAAATCGAATGCATTGAATCCGCTCTAGGCAATTCATCGTCTTTCTGAATTTCAACGCGTCTTAGGGCCGTATTCACACTTTTCCGGACATGGTACCCAATACTCGAATGTTTTTTTATGTTGCACTGAATAATCTCTAGAAGTTGGATCCGATAGTGCTGAACTACATTATTGTATATTCTATACAGATTTATGTGAATTAGGATTGGTTTATCTCAATATGGCCTTTGGAAAACGATGAATATTTTTCATCTTTCAAAGTCACTATGATAGTGGTGGATGTACAATGATTCAATGATATAGATACTTCAACGTAATGAAGTCATCGATGGAATTGAAATATATAATCAACCTATCAGATGCATTTTCCATAGTTCTGTTATTTATGACGTCATTCGTCATTGTGAGATGTGGAGTATACAAGTGAATAAATTGGAAGTTATGTAAGTACATACGGTTCAATATATCGAAACTATGAATCAAGTAAAGCCATTTATGAAATTTCAATGGACCACCAACCTATCAAATCAATTTCCCAAAGTTATGTTACTTCTGTCATTATTCGTCATTGTAAGATATGAACTATACAAGTAAATAAATGGATAGTTGTTTCAGAATAAATAAAAAGCAATTTGTTACACATGCTGCATACGAATTTTGGAAATCCTACTCCAAATCATACCTACTTCAAGTATATTGAAATGATACTGCACTGAAAAAAACTGGTTAATTAAAACGTCTAGTTGGTATTTTTTTAGTACCGATAATTAAAAATACTTGGAATTTTATCAATAATGACAACGTATCCTTATTTCCTACAAATGACTTTTCTATTTTTCGCCAATTATTTGTCATCAATAAAAATACTATTTGTGACAGAATTATCAGTGTTGTCTATTCAGTCAATTAAAATTTTATATAGGGGTTAAAAAACCTCATTCTGGGGTTACTAACAACAGCTGACTATTTGCCACAACTGATGACACATTTATCGTAAAAGGTTTATTATTATTCATAGCAGAAATTGTTTAACCATAACTAATAATTTTAGTTGTACTGCGTCGTTCGGGACCGCCTCGCGTCTCTTCGGGACCCACCGGCAAAAATTGCATCTTGCATCTGTTTGTCTTTCTGTTTCATCATTTGAACTTGTATCTTAATAGTGGGTAGATCGCACGGTCGTCGAGCTTAGACAAAATAAATAAAATAATTGTCTAGTGTAGCCGGTAGCGTCGTGTTCTTGCTGGTTCACTGCTCTGTGTGTTTTCAAATCACTGTTTTGTGTTTTTTTGCACTTCGCGCTGAGCCATTTGGCATTTGGTTGGCAAAATAATAATTCGCAGTTTACCATCGTTATCTGTGCGTCACTAGTTATCAGGTTTAGGTATCTATTCACAATTCAGTACAGTTTACGACGGGCGACGGTGAGAAACGTCCAACCGACGTCACGTGTACACGGTGAATATTTATAATTCCCTCTCTTTTTGCTGAGCTGTGGCCTGTGGCACTTACGGTGCGTGATGTATTCCTGTTCACGATTCCATTGGAAATTGGAAGGAAAATGGCATACAAACTGTTATTATTAGAATGAGGCCTTGATTTTAATTGATATAAAACTATTAAGTTGCCAGAATAACTAAATTATATTTCAAACGTTACTAAATCACTTTTAATAGTAACTAGATTCCATTTCGGTCACAATTAAATATTCAATTTGCAACAACACACTCACTATTAACGTCAGAAGAAATGAGTAATTGCCCCAACTGGGTTGATTTGTTGTGATAACAAACATATATCGAAACAGTACTAACAATCTAATTGTCATAACTATGTATCTTGATTGTGGCAAATAAAACTTGGTATTATTCCTCAAAAAGGCTTATTAGTTACCACAACAACGTCGTAGATGACTCAACTAAACTTTTCATTTGATGCAAATAGGCGTTTCCAGAAAAACAAAATTAGTTATGGCAACAACTAATGCTTGCTGTCCCCTATCGTACTAAAAAATTTTTCTGTACTTACTAATTTTTTAGTAACGGCTACAAATTTTTTCCCTCAGTGTGATGTTCTGTGTGTGTGAATGAGAATATCGCGACAAAGGAGTGAATCAAATCAATATGTTCTAGAACCCCATCCCGTGATGCAGAGACAAATAATGTTTTACCCACATATATACATAGAGTGAAGATATTTTTCGAACCAACAAAATATTTTGTCCTATAAACAGGACAAATTATCTTGTAATTTCAACGAAATTCCGTCATTTCGAAAAAATTCAACAAAACTCACACAACTTATTTTTTGAAGTGACAACCTGTTGGTGACGCTGACAAAAGTGCTATCAGCAAGACGGAATTTTTGTTACGATAACAAGATATTCACTCTATAATGGATAGAGAACAATAGTATATTGTTCGATGAGCACGAAATGATCTTCATTTTTCACAAGTGGGAAAATTGCATTCCTTGCAAGTTATACAATATCTTTTTCCTACGGCTGTTACAGCTAAATTTGATATTCCTTTGGCTTGTAGCCTTCTGATATCCCCTTAGATAATGCTCATCTATTATGGACAGAGCTGTTATTGCTTCGAATTAGACATCTCGTAGAATATGGAATTTTGTGAAAAAATAACACAATAGAGTCATTGTGATATCAGATAAGGAAATAAAATTAAAGACATACAAAAGTATCTCATTGATTTATCGAACACAGGAAAACGATTTTATGTCATAGTCGTATGAAAAGTATTTTGTTGTTTCGAAGAAGCATTATTCCTCTCCGTAAGAAACTCAATCTTCTTACTTGGAAAAGTACTATCAATGTTTGGCAGAAAAAGAATTAAACAGTGTAAATTGATTTGTCTATGACTATCTGGCAAGTTTGCATAAGTTGACACAAGAGGACAATTGAGTTTTTGGAAAAAAATTAAAACAGAGAAGTTCATTCAACTTACGCTTCATGAATTTCGGTAGTTCAGTTAGGAGAGTGTAGAAACCCCAGTTATCGCTAACATTAGCAACTATTATCGCCCAGACCGGTAGAGATTTCATCATCGCAATCCAAGGTGTTCTTAGTTTGGTTTCATTCTTAACTTTAGCTTTGGAGTTCGTGATGTATTCCAATTCCAAGTTATTTATCCTAGAATCTTCTTCGGGAGAATCTCCTACGAACTGTACCCATAAGAATGTCCACAACAAACCAATAGTTCCTGCAAAATCAGAATATCACAATAACCATCTGCCATTCGAATTCATGCAATTCATAAACAGCCTCACCAAAAACATAAAATATGCTCTCCCATCCAATTGATGTAGCCAGTAGAGAACATACAGGCATGGAAACTATGATACCAACATATGATCCAGATAATGACGTAGCTAGCAAACGAGATCTTTCCAAGGGAGGAGCCCATTTTGACCATAGCGAATAAATGCAAGGATAACTGACACCCTGTTGGAAACAATGTGGCCTTTATTATAGATTGTAACAAGTCATGCAGAGCAGATCTTATATATATTGTCACATGATGGTTCTGCATAGTGAGTGTAATATTATATCATTGTCAGAGGACTCGTTCCCGATAATCTTGACCAAATCATACCAGTCATCATCTCCTCAAGATTTATGGTAAACGTCGAACTAATATGATAGTGGTCATGTTCCGGTATTACTGACATTACTGGCCACAGTAAACAATTCAGGAACACTAAACAGTAGCAGTAGATTTGCATTTTCATCTCATTTCGGAACGATTTTTGCAGTACTGTTACACTGGCATAACCATAACCTATAATCTTCCGATTCTCGATGTTTCGTCTATTATCTTCTGTACACACGTCGAAATTATTGATGTAGTGATCAATTATATTATCTCGGATATTGATTCTGATTCATCATAAACTCAAAAAACTAGTACCTCTAGTTCCAGTAATGAAGAAATGAAGCACAACTGTGAAATATTTGATATCAAGAGTGGGAATAAAAAATCATCTTGTAGATCAGTGACAGGATATTCCTTTTCGTGGAAACCAGAACATAAAAAAAAGTTTCAGCGTCTACTGCCTCTGTGAGATATTTCAGTTCTGTTCCATACATGTTTCCATAGTACCTACTTTTAAATAATAATATTTAATCTTTGGTAGAAGTCCATGGTATCTCAAAGTGGAGTCAAGTATTTGATACTAAATGATACACGAAGTCATCCCCACGAAATATAATGTGATTAACACATCAGAATTGGTTGGTACATGTGTCGGACATAAATATAGCTTCATGAGAAATTACATAAACAGTGTCATGGGGATGAGAAAGATTATGTGACCAAATTTAACATTTCAAAAAATTCTTCTTTTGTTTGGGTTTTAAGAAAATATTATATGGGGAAACCCAACAAACCCCCGGAAATTACCATACAATGTTTTTTGTTCTTTGCAATGGCCATCAAATGGCACATATGGATGCGACATTAGGATTGGAAACGTTTCCAATCCTTTTAAAATTGGTGAATGCACTATTCAAGTGATGAGATACTTGAGAGAATATAAGTGAAATGGCTGTTTACCTATCAACTCCATGTTCAGGAGTAGGAGTCGCCGGGTTATAGTCCAGCCCCACCCCTCCACTTTCCTCCAAACCACGTGACTCGGCCGACAAATCACAGGCCGGCCTGACTCGGCCAGCTACTCGCGGCCCTGCGAACGGGTCGACGTGACGTCATCATCGGCTGGACTGCGATAGATCCGTTCTAGAGATAACGGCGCGCATTTCATTCCATTTTTTCACTTAACAACGGCTATATACAGGGTGTTTGAGTTGGGTAATAGTTGGGAAAAAAAAATTAAGGGTGAACCCAAAAAGGCGTTATACCTCTCCGAAGAGTAGACTACCTACATATAAAGGCTACCTGCTATAACATGATATATACAGGGCGTTTGAGTTGGATAGCAATTAAAGAAAAAAATATACTGGACGCCTCACCCACTTTTGCGGGATTAGACAGCTGACGTATTACATAAGACATTTGACAGTTAACAAAGGATTGATGACACGTGACTAGATGACCTGCAAGTAGACTACCCGCTACCTAATAATTCAATATACAGAATATTTGAGTTAGCAATAGCGATACAAAAGTATATATAGGGGTCTCACAGGTAGACTCAGCAAACAAACGTATGACAGAGTATCTGTTTGATATACAGGTTGTTTGAATAGCAATACAAACTCACATAGGGCACTCATGGCCTGACGTTTGACATTTTGACAGATGACCAAAAACGCTATCATACATCAATACTAGACAAACGATACAATGTTTTCGAGGTTATGTTCCATTTCAGACATTCGGTATAGCAAATTTATTTATTCTTTCTAGTTTTCTGGATTTGTGTGTTGTTATGTAATGGGTAGTATAAAGAAAAAACCCCCAATGGTATGTTTTAACCCGTACAACATATACAATATAATAATATAATGCCACTGAATGATCAAGACCTCTATGTCATGTCGACATGTTAATATTTGGCAGGGATAATCAACACTTAGGAATATTATACATATAGTGACCCCCTAAAAAAAAAAGGTATTTCTTTTCGAGCCACCCTGTTTAACATTGGCATTTTCAGTTCGGAGAAGATTAAAAGGAAAAGTATTCGAATATTTAATAATTCATGAAAGGTGACTGAAACAGCCCGAGATTACGATTTCCTGCCCCTCGGCGCGATTTCCTGTTTGTTTACATGATAACATTAAGTCGCTCTAGGAGTATTATTATTTCATTCTTTAGTTGGGTTGGATATTTAGGATGATTCAGTGCGTTTTCATTGCCAAAAAATCTGTGCGTGTGTGTGTGTGTATGGGAAAAAAATTACAGAGGTCCCGCGCATGAGAGCTGCAACGTTTCGATACCTGGATTGTCATGTGGTGCCTGTAAAGTTCCAAAATTTGAGTGGAAATGACACAAATTTCATCATCGGAGATATAGGGTCCAAAATGCATGTCCAAGGCTGATTTTTACCAAACACCACCACCAAAGAGAATATATATCCTTCACTAAAACACAACGAGGATGCATGCACTGGCTTCCGCTTGATCGCATCGTTTCGCTTCATGAACTTTTCTCTGGATATACTGTGGTAAGTTGCCTATTTCCTACTTTTTGTTGTACCTCTCACGTAAAATTCCCCACGATTCGTGCCAGAGCCCTTGATGCTTTTTTCGAAACAATGTAGTCTGTGATAGGTAGCTAATATATGTGAAAAGACCCGAACACTATAGTTATTGTTTCTTAGCGGTGAATTATAAAAAAAACCATTGAACAGAGTTGAGAAATTTTGTAAAACGCGTAACAGGAATGTTGGGGTAAAGAAAAAAAACAAACATTTCAAGAAATCTGTGTATAGTAATTCGATGTACAGGGTGTTTCGTAAAACTTTAGGATTTTCAGTTTCATATTTTGCTAGATTTTCGGCTGACGAAAGAGTATACATCTGAAATAGGATTTTATTCATATACAGGGTGTTTCATACATCATTAAAATTTTCAGTTTTGAATTTTCAGCTTACCATAGTAGGAATTTTATTTTCATAGAGGATTGTCTTCGTAGTAGGGAGATTAAAGACAATAGATTTCAACTGATTGTTCACAATAATTGTTGCAACTGTCATCTTTGAGACTCATTCCATTAGTTTAGGGTCTTCAGAAAAAAAAGTTTATCAATTCCAAATTATAATGTATATAGGGTGTTTGACTGTCTGTTTTGAAAAATATGCAGAGCATTCAGAAAAAAAAAGTTTTCAAATCAAATAATTGAGTATAATGGATGTTTTCGGTTGTCTGTTTGATGAAAAATATACAGGGTCTTTTGAAAAAAAAGTTTCTCAATTCCAAATTACAAAGTATAATGGATGTTTTGGCTGTCTATTTGAGGAAAAATATACAGGGTCTATAGAAAAAATCATTCAATTTCAAATTATGAAGTATACAGGGCGTTTGACAGGCTGATTTGAAAAATATACAGAGCATCTATCAAATATTTTATTGACAAACGAGATAATCACAATCTATATCATTTTATATTTTTTTCTTGAAACAATCTTCACACCATGCTGTGAAAATGTAGGCGCCTATCCCTTTTCTATCAGTGGTGTAGTGTTCGATCACATGACGAACCCCCTCTTTGCGGCAGAAAGAGCAGAAACTAGGTTTGCAGTCACTGCAATTGCATGGTCTACCCCAGGCACAGTTTGGCATTGCTGATTACGTCTGTACTGTTGGAGAGCTGCCGAAATACTGGAGTCATACATTGATATTAACCAGTTCGTATAAGTCCTGAAACATAGTATGAATAGCTTTGTTTCCACACCACCCTCGGGGTAAAAGCCTTTTGGCGCGTTTTGCTTTTTTTCTTTGTTCTGAATGTGGATGAAAGCATTCCCCTTTAGGCCTATACAAAACCACATACACTCTAAAGATTGGGGGTGAATAATTCATTATAGAACAGATGACTGTTGATATATGAAATCAGAGCAGTTTTTGTTTGTTCTATATCTAGCTGCACGAAGATCGATTTCTAAATCAATAGAAACACTTCATCAATTTGCCAGATAATATCCATTGTTTATTTCTTCAGTAGAACAGGTGACTGTTGAAATATAAAATCAGAGCAGTTTTTGTTTGTTCTATTTGTAGCTGCACGAAGATCAATTTTTAACTTAATAAAAACACTTCATTAGTTCGCTACAAGGTTAGGGCCTTTTTTTTTCTCTCATTGAACCATTCACCTCAAATTTTTAGAGTAGCCGTGAAAACGGCTGATTCGATCAAGAATTCATTGTATAGATCCGGTCGTGATAACGATTGCTTTCACTTTCTCTCTCTCGAGCTTTGTGCCGGATATTTTTAATCGAATTTTACACAGAACGCTGATAAAAAACTTCAATCGCAATTTGTTTATCACTGTCTGATAAAGAGAAAAGAAAGGAATGACGATGCTGTGATTCATAGAATATTTATAATGATTTCCTCTTTTTGAAACCGTAAGGTACAGAAGTGTGATCTTCGAGAAATTTCCGCTTCAAGCTTACAGGCTTGTACTTTTTGGTTACATCAACTGTGATGACCTCATGTTCCTTGGTTCGACGGAACTGTTTGCTCAAAATTTAGACAGGGGAACCAGGGTTCAGAATCATATCTTTAATTGATTCAAAATTCACAAACTGTGAAGCAGCATAGTTAAGGGAGAGGCCTTTAACTTTGCACACAACTTTGAACTCTTGATCCTTGATTGCCCATAGCTTGTAAGCATAATTTTTGGGGCCACCAGATACAAACTCTGTGATATGGGAACCAGGGCCGTAACATTCCATTTCATCGGTCATATCACCAATAAATTGACCAGTGGGAATGTCGAATTCCCCTTGTCTGGGAACATAGATAACCGAGTCTGTGTC